TTACAAGCTGCTATTCAAAGAAATTTAGAGTTTTCTTTATATAGAAATTAAAGAGTAGAATAATTATCTAATATTCTCAAACCACAATTACCCTCTCAAGCTTTATATGATACTCAACCTCATTATAAAATAGAAGTATCAAAAACTAGATTTAGATTTGATGATGAAGCAGAATTTGTTTGGACTTATATTTACTTCTTAAATGAGAAGTTTAAGAAAACTTAAGAAAAAGCAACTAGACCTTTAAGTTGAAAAGGCCCTAATACCTAATGCTGGTGTTGGAATATCTTATTTAGACAAAGTAGCAAATATTATCAATACGAAGCTAATTGTAAAGCATAAATTACTTTAAAACAAATATCCTTACAAAAATTGCTTGTATGTTGTCCAGAAAACTTACCTTCTCAGTATTATGAAACTTTTGAAAACTATGAAGAAGAAGTTTTCATGATGGCTATTGATAATGAATCTCCTGCAAACTCTCTAACTCTAATGAACCCTAATCATTACCAAGACATGATAACAACGCTTGAACTAATCTTATATAAAAATTATAGTTTAACTTCATATCAAGACATAGAGTTTACCTCAAATGGAATTCATTATAATGGAATATACTGTATCTGGTATTATATTGAACATATTAGTCTTCAGTTGAAACAAACTTTTAGAAAATATGCTTGGCCAAGGGATTAGAAAGGACCTGCTGCACAATGTTGGTGTGGTAATAAATTATACTCACCCAGTAATGAATGTATTAAATGCCGAATTGACCTACAATTATGGCTTACTATTCAGCAATATCTCTTAGAAGAAATTGTTAAAAGTTATTGGCCAACTCCTGTTTCTAATGATGAAGAAAATACTACACTTGAAACATCCTTTGAAATGAATCTTATCGATAATACTTTTGTTGAAATTTTTTTTAATGAAACACTGATTAATGAATATCTTCTTAGTGATTATGATGCTAATGAAGAAATTAATACTTTTAGTATGAATATTGACTATCATACAGATATAGAAGAAATAAGTTTGGAACAACATTTGTCAACACATTCCTGGTGGTTACCACCTTTACAAACACCTTCACCAGAACATCTTCTTGAATTTAATAATTATTCAGAACATTATCTTTGTAATGCAGTTTAGTGGAAAGTTATTAATCCAAAAACTTATGAATATTAATTCGAATTTATATTTAGTTTAATCTATAATTTATATTTATTTAATTAACACATCTATCTTAAAAAAAAAAAAAAATAAAAAAAAAAAAATAAATACATATATATATATACATATTCATATTAGTTATAGAACATTATATTATTAGCTTAGTCTTCTCCTGAGCCTAGAATTATTGGTTGTCTAGGACAGTATAGAGTGAGACTAGAGCTCTATTCAACTTACCATCTTATTTTATTTTACTCTCTAAAGCTGACATAAAAGAAAATTCAGTCTAGGTTGTCAGTATCCTAGCAAATACTTCAAAATGGATATAATTACCTACTACAATCTTAAATATTTTTTAGAAACAGCAAATTTTCCTACTGATTTTTCAAGAAATTAAAAGAAACAATTAGAATCTCAAAGCAAATTCTATATAATCAAGAATAATCAACTTTATAAACAAGACCGAAGAAAA